AATTTAGAATTTTATCATTATTAACAAGCACAGTAATATCTAAAAGACGAAAGCAACGATACTCTCTAATACCGATGCATTTCTAATCAATACATCAGTATATCGGTACTCTGTATTTCGATTAATATCGATACGAAATATCGATGCTTTGTGCTCCTTCGCACATCCCCAGCACAATCATGAATGAATCATGAATGTAACGAGTAACTTCGATGAAATTAAATTGCCTTGCAGTTGCTCAAATCCTGAAAACCTTTCCGTTAACGAAGGAAGAGGATGGGCGGGAAAGGAGGGGGGGGGGGAGGAATTCAAGTTTCAAAGCGTTAAATGACCTGACTCGGCTGAATTATTTCGCCGCCCGCGTTCGGTTCGCCTTTAGCGGATGAATCGATGCACTCGACTGTGTATCGGGTGCATGCAGTCACCGGGGTAGCCGGCCGCGCTGTCGTAACGGATCGCCTCGATCGTTTTGTAAAGTCTGTCGTTATCGCCCGACGAGCCCGGGCGAAACCTGACGACGGAAATAAATCTCGAAAGGCGCGCTTAAGGAGCGATCGACCGGCGCGCGCGCGTCGGATCACCTCGTCCATAAACATTAGATAGCGGAAGTACGGGAAGGGCTCGGGGAACGAGGGCGAGGAGATAAAGAGGAGAACCTTGTCGGGGACGTAAAGGGTGCGCTCTCGCGCGCGTGAGAAATACCGACGAAGGGTGGAATTCCACGGCGACCTTATCTTATGCGGCGCTTAACCTTTCTTCCCGTTTCCTCTCGAGGAGATCGGAAGGCGATCGGCGACGGAGAGAAGAGAGAGAGAGAGAGAGAGAGGTGAGATCGAGTGGTCGTTTGCGATGTTATCGCGAAGTCGTGGAAATCCGGTTTAATCCGCGAACAGTTGCGTCGGAAGCCGACACGGTGGAAAGTTGACGCCTGAAACGAGGTACGCTGCGAGAGCGAATCGTGGCGGATCACGAATTCGCCTCGTGGCAAATGAGTCGTGAAAGAAACGCTTTCCTCGCGTGTGCGCGAGCTCGCCTCTAATCCTCGGTACGCAAGCGATCGCAAACTCGTCGAAACCGCGCGGGCGATAAGGGATTCGCAAAGGGTGGTGGGACCTGATGGGAAACTGTCTTGTGTCATCATGTAAATAGGCTGTGATTTATGAACGCTTCGTTACGTGCATTAACGATAGATATTGGACAGTTTGTTTGCGATGTTTGCTATCGCGCGAGCGTCTCTGATGCGCGATCGTATCTTGGAACAAAAGATACGCGGGCATTTACAAGCGCGTTATTGCTCGAGGCACGAATTTTGGCGAATTCGAGAGGCACCAGCGGAAATTCTTCAATGACCGATGTGAATGCCTTCATATCTGCTTATTTGATCGCGCACTCGTACGAACGCGTTTTATTAACCAGTTAGTGATGGGGAGATCAAATTGTGGCAGGGCATTAACACAGCCTTATTCATCGCTCACATTCCGACGTATTTGACGATACTTGAGGGAATTTCATTTCTTCGAGCTTTAATCACAGGGATATTTAATCCCTCGAACATTGAAAAGCTGTGATATCATCCTCCGTTGTTTCCTGAATTCCCCCCCCCCCCCCCCGGGAAAAATTAGGACGCATCGCGCGCCCAGCACGGTCCAATCATAAGGGACCCTCCGACCACCGCGAACTGCGCGACGTGCACCGCACTTTTGCGATTTCCAATTTATCCGCGCGTATCAGTCGAAATCGCATATCGTCGGGCGGTGTGAGAGCTACGGCCAATTTAGAATGGTGCTGCCTTTACGGTAGATATAAGTGACCTTTTTAACCGCGGTCCGTTACGCATAATTTACGTTCATTATCTTTAATGGGCGAGCTATTAGGAGGGGCGCGAGTAATAGTATGGCAATACCACTAATGCCTCTGGCTCCACTCTTGCTCTATCCTTCCCCCCTCCTCTTCCTCCTCTTCCTTTTCCACCGTCTCCTCCTTCGTCTTCCACCATTTTTCCACCGGCACGTTTAAACGTCTACTCAATGCAAATAATGGCCGGTAGCGGAAGAATATTGTTTCTTGCGCGGAAGAAAGTAATGACCGCGGAGCGGAGGTACCGAGGCGGATGTATCCGGAATTATATCGGGAATTGCACGTCAAGCGTTTTCCAAGAGAGACGTATTACTTCATCTATAGTTCTCGTCGAAAGGACAGCGCAACCAGTACAGGATGTGCCACGAATCGCGTGCGTTTCTTCGGGACAAATCCCTTTTCTGGAAAATTTCTCTTTTTCACTAGAAACATAGATTTATAAGAGTCGAGCGCGGTTGATGATGCGAATCAATTTTATCTAGGAAGATAAATGTGTTTGACGGTGTAAACACACGCGCTGACTATTGTCAGGCCTTCAAACGTACACTGAGAAAGCCATTTAGTCGAATCAACTAAATGGTTTCTCAGTATATGTGGAGAATCTACTTTCCATGTCAGACCGACCTTATATTCTAATTGTTAATATTAATGAAATCTCAAATATCCAAACTATTAATTAATTAATTAGCATTAATTGATTCCCTTAAATATTGCGAAAGATACTGCTTAAGTCAGGAGTTGAATTTGGAATCTTTCCATTTTTGCCGGGCAGAACACCTTAACTAATTCAGCTACCGAGGCTTTGACAGTATTTTTCGCAACACAAATGCTTACAACTGTTTAAATTGAAAGTAAGCAGACACTCTGCCGCCACGAAGAACCAAAGAACAAATTATATTAGACTCTTCAGATACACAATTATTAGATTACTATCCGATAAATATTACATGGAAGGATAAATGTTTGACAGTGCCATAAACGCACGTGCCGACTAATTTGTCAGACTTTCAAACCTACATGGGGAATCTATTAAATCCTAAATAAAATCTCTTATATAAAATTTATTCGCGCTAACAACCGGTCCTTTCTATCCTTCAAATGATTGTGTATCTTAAGATCCTAATATATTCAAATTGTCCTTTTTTCTCCTTCTTCCAAAGTAAATTTGATCGGACGTCGTTTACCATAATATCTCCATTTTTTTAAGTCCATCGTCTCGGTAAATTTCAACTTCGAATTATCTGTCCAAAGCCGGAGGCTTGCAATTATCAATTTACTCACCGGAGTACCCAGTTAAAAATCCACGACGAACGTCGGGTTCGCGGTCCGATCCGAAATTCGGCCGGCGCTGTATAATCAAGGGGATGCAGCATTCGGTACGTTCCATTCGCAGCTCACCCTTCGTTTTCACACCGCACCCCTCGTCTGTGTTTTTACGTTCGTAACGTCCGCTTTTACGCGGCTATCCGCGGAGAGGCGTCGCACCACGTCGCGCCACACGCGGTGGACACCCCGACGCGACGTTCAGGGCGCAAATACCTCCGAACGTCCCTCGGGCTGTCACTTAGTGTCCTAAAGAAATAACATTTCCTTCCCGCGCATCAGAAACGCGCGCGCTCGCGCCGCATTGTCGTCGTTCTCGTCACCGTCTCCGGCATCGTCGACGACGACGTCTTTCGCCGGCGGCGCAGACGACGACGACGACGATGGTGGCGGGGTAACACCGCGGATTCCCGTCCCGTCGCATTTTTATTTCGCCACGAGGCCAGCCCCGAGTCCGGAGGACGGGCACGACTGGAGGAGGAGGAGGAGGGGGGGCATCTACCCTCGCTAGGCATTGCACAAGTGTCAGCCTGAATAATACGTGTCCGTTGCAGCGAGTATACGGCCTGACACGGGCTGTTCCCTGTACGTACGTACATGTATATGTGTATAGCAATGTGTACATACGTGCACATGCGCGTATACATATGTAACGACCTATACGGACGTATTTCTTTCCCCTCCCCCTTCCCGCCCGTTCAGCAATGCTTTCTCTCGTTTGCGCTCTCCCTTCCTCTCTAGCGCGCGCGCGCGCGCGAGGGCACGGACTCTCTCTCTCACTCTCCTTCTCCTCCTCTCTCTCTCTCTTTCTCTATACCCCCCCCCCCCCTCCCGGCGCGCAGTTACGCTCG